TCCTGGTTCGATTCCAGACCCATGGGGCGGCGCACAATTGGCCAAGCGCCGTCCAGGGTAGGGGAGGGTTTGGCTGGCAGGGATGTTCTTGTCCCATCGCGCACTAGCGACTCCTGTGGCGGGCCGGGCACAGTGCACGCTGACTCGGTCGCCAGCACATTGGTGTGGCTGGCTTTCGGGTTAAGCGGGCAAGAAGCAGTGCGGTTGGGTTGTGTTTCGGAGGACGCACGACTCTCGACCTTCGCCTCTCCCGTGTCCGTACGGGAGTTGCAGCGATGGGACAAGACGGTAGCTACCAATTGGATACCACGAAATTGGGGAGAAAAAGGGGGTAAAATACCAACAAAGAAAACAAAAAAATAGTGTAATGAGGTGTGTTTGAAGTCAGTCGGTTCTCTGCAGACAATATGGTTGGGTGTATAATGCACCTTCTCTCTCTGCCTGGCTGCCACGTGGGAGTGTTCACCGCTCATCCAATAGGTTTAAATCTCTTCAGTTATTTCAGAGCTGAACGATCGCCAGGCTAGAGGCTGGTGGGACTGGAGCGAGTTCTCGCTGTCAAAATGGCAGCGGTTGCAGTGATGTAGAAAAGTGCAATTTAAAAATAACCTTTTATGCAAGCTTTTTAAAGCTAGCAATCAAACCAATCAATTCAATTTTGTGTTTCTTATGTCGGTTAGAAATATGCTATGTGACCTCGAAATACACTGGTTTGGAGGCATTGATCAAGCTGTAGGCTTCGCCTGACTGGACCTATTGATGTTCTATAGGGTTATTTTCCTCTCTTCAATAAAAGTGAGGAGGCGGATAGAGGGGAATGAATGGACTAGCAGGGGGAAAGATGAAGACGCCATGGGAGGTGTGTGTGTGTGTGGACACAGGGCATATAGGAGCTGATCAGCCTTCTGTAATCTCCCTTCATCTAAATAACGATCCATAAAATATCAGGCAGAGAGAAGTTGAAAGCGAAAGGAAGGCGAGGGGGATTTAGGGTTGAGATAAGGAAGGTAATCTCCAACACCACCACCTTCCCTTGAGACCAGGGAAGAGGCTGGGAAGAGGCTGGGGAAACTGGGAGAGAAAGGGGGAGGGAGGGGGGAGTGGAGAAATGGAGAGGTGGGGAGAGAGCGGGGAAAGGGTGAGGGGAGGAGAGAGCGTAAGGAGAGGGGAAAGGGAGAGGATGAAAAAGTTGCTGCCTGGAGGCTGGGAGAAGTGCTGAATTGAAAATGGTGTGTATGACTGCCAAGGTGTGACGGCTCTATTACATGCTGACCAAACCGCCCGCGTTACGGGAGCGTTGCAAAATAAATGTACACATATATGTTATTCAGTAATTTCATCCAAACTGCTCGTGCGCGTCAACGGACGTCTGTGTAGCCAGGCGGTAAAATAGAACTTGGTTCTATTTTAGACTCTTGACGCGCTGCAAGTCCCGCGTCTCCCATCTACTTTTACGAGTACATACCCACGTGGGTGATTTGAAAAATGAACGAGGTCCACACTGAACGAGATCCACACAAAATGAACGAGGTCCAGTTGGTGGCGGTAATGCACATTTAAAGTTGGTTGCCAACTGCCATATAAGATCCACAGAAGAAGAATGAACGAGGAGAGATTCATCAAAGAAAACTAGCTAAAAATGAACTAGGTTTCCCCTTTTATCTGTGGATGAATTACCGGAGTAGAGAGCACACGATTTTGTGTGACTTAAAATGGGTCAAAGTTCTACAAAGATTCAGCAAAAATTAGCTAGCAACAACAAGCTAGCTAAATGTCCATGAATGTTTCATGTGTGTTTTGACCTCTCCCCAAATTAATATAGTTGGTAAAACAAGGTTGTCCACTGTCGGCATATCTATTTATTATGGCCATCGAAATGTTAGCTATTCAAATCAGATCCAACTATAATATAGAGGGGCTAGAAATCCAGGGCTTAACAACAAAGGTGTCATTGTATGCTGACGACTCAAGTTTCCTCTTAAATCTGCAATCTGGATCCCTGCACAGCCTCATAGAGTATCTAGACATTTTTCTAACCGTGCAAAAAAATACTACTTTGACATTACCGTGTAGTTGACCTATAAAATGGTCTGATGTTGAAGTGGACATACTCGGTATTCATATCCCTAAAGAAGTAAAGGAACTCACTACAACAAATTTCAACAGAAAGTTAGCAAAAATAGATAAGATCTTGCTACCATGGAAAGGTAAATACCTGTATTTGTGGAAAAATCACCCTGATTAATTATTTAGTCATATCCCAGTTTACCTATTTACTTATGGCCCTGCTTACCCCAAACAATTTGTGTTTTAAATTATTCTAGCAAAAAATATTTAACTTTTTTTGGAACGGCAAGCCAGACAAAATTAAACGTGCTTATTTATATCATGAATAATAATGAAAATTATGAAATATGAAAGCATTAAACCTCTCTCACTAAAAGCATCAGTCATACAATAGTCATACTTAAACCCAAACTGGTTTTCCAGTAGATTAGTAAGAATGTCTCTCCCCTTGTTCAAAAATGGCCCTTTTCAATTTATCCAGATTACAACCTCTCACTTTCAGTTAATTGAAAACGGAACCTTTTTCAAAATATCGCCTTTTCTAAAACAAACCATACAAATCTGGTTGCAATTCCAGTTTCATCCTCCAGAAAAGACAGAACAAATATTACAACAAATATTATGGTTAAATTGAAATATACTAATTGATTAAAAAAAAAAAATATGGTAAAACATTTTTTATAATTATCTTTTGATAATTATATTATGAATAGGAAAGGTGATGTTATGTCACATGTGCAGTTAACAAACATATATGGAAATGTCTGCCATTTATTAAAGACCAAAATTGGCACACAAAAAAATGTCATAAATAATACAAATTACTACTGTAAAAAAATAAAATGGCATGTATGTAAAATGTGTGGAGAATGTTCATGTAACAACCAAATAAAGTTTTTAAAAAATGTTTTTATAATATATCTATATATTGGTGGTCCTCTGTAGCTCAGCGAGCACGGTGCTTGTAACGCCAAGGTAGTGGGTTCGATCCCCGGGACCACCCATACACAAAAATGTATGCACGCATGACTGTAAGTCGCTTTGGATAAAAGCGTCTGCTAAATGGCATATTATTATTTTTATTATTATTATTATTATTAGTTGGTTCACAGTTGGTTTTGGTATATTTAACCTGCTTGTCATGAACGCGTCTGTTGGGGATAGACAAAATCAACGTACGCGCGGAGTCGGTTTGGTCAGGAAGTTAGTTGTGATGTACAGTAGTTTAGCTAAGTGCATGCCAAACTATGATTCTAACCGTGAATGATTGGACCGTATCAATGAGCATATTCGATAAGGGTTCACTTTTAACAATTCTTCTCAAGGACTGTACCCAGTTATATCAGTGGTTTGTTTTGGGTATGTTTTCTTTGGAGACTTATTTTTCAGGCTTCTGCCAAATTGGTTGACTAGACTAACCTTGAAGCAATAAAAATAAAATCTGCAATGTCCAAACAATATCTCTCGGGCAGTGGGCACAGCTCTTTTGCATATTCGAGTGTTTGGAATTAATGTTATCAGTTTGTGGTCATTGTTATCGTTCCATAGTTTCACTTTTTCATAATATCACTTTCGTTATTCCTTGTGGCGGTAGTAGTATCGATGGGGCAGACCAGGTGGGTTTAAAGATCCTGATAGACAGAGAGAATAGCACAAGCCACTCCCCTAAATGAGAACCACAGAGATGCTGCAAATCCTGGAGTGGAGTTTTCCAAATGTTTGTTTTGAGCAACCTGATAGCCTTGTGTTTATAACCGTGTCCAAACGACCTTGAATGAAAGTGAAATCAATGCCACAATGTCTCATTTCCTCCCGGTGGATGGTTTATCTCTGAATGAACCAGTCTGTTCTTTGTAGGCATATATTTTGCTGCTGTGGTTCTCGGATATACAGTATAAGCATAGTTCATATGTAAATACACAGTTGTTACACATATTTGAAATTCTTAATTGAAACAAGGCCTGTGCGATCCGAAATTACTAGTAATACCTGAATAAACCGTTTTGAAAAGCCAGCAATCCCCAGTCTGGGAATTCGTTCCATCCATGTTTGAATACGCTTCGTGTTTTGCTTCCAATCCGCCGTTCTTGCTGGATGATCCGTTGTCCCTCTGGAGTGTGAAGTGAGGAGAGAGCTGGATATGGGACGGTGGCTACGTTTCCCCGCGTTCTCAAGATAACCGTGTGTGAGAGAGGGATTGTGGAAGCTTGGTTCTGGCTGTAAATTCCCCCCAGTTGAATCACAATCGGACACACTGGGGTTGAAAACAAAACCACTAAATCAATGTTAGCCTGGCAAGCTGGCTTCGCTGCGGGAGATGCGCGCGAACACAATGGGAGACAACGCACTCACTTCGCTTGGAGGAATACAGCGTTGCAATAATATTATTCTACAATAATGGGAATAGTGTCGTGGTGGATCTTGAAGCAATATACCCGGACTCTCTGTTGCCTGAACCCGGGATATTTATAGATTTGTTTGCTGTGAAAATAATTACTATGTAAGCGACTCCAGTCTGGGAAGGAACCGTGGGCATTTTTTGCACAAGCGATGCATTTTGAGAGGGAGAGAAGCCGGACATGCCCTAAATGAAGACTGTGCTTGTTTGGTTGCTACATTACATTTGTTGCCAGTTTATAAATCCACCGGGATGTGAAAGGAATTTATTTCCGGCGTCGAATTCTCATGCCTTTTTGCACATCTTGATTATTTTAGTAGTACAACTAATTTGATATAGTAATCGTTTAATTGTAGTATTATTACAAATAGCCTACTATTACTTCCTTATTATTAGACGACATCAAAGGACCAGTGTCAGGAAGTCATTTTCCCGTTCAAAGTAACGTCTGGCCCACTCGTGTAGCCTATTCAGTAGCCCCTATTTCAGTTCATGTCCCTAGAGAATGTACCTTCTTGACGGTAATTGCGAAAGGATGGAACGAGGAACGCCACAAAGGAAAACAGTGTACCGGATCTCTCTCACCTTGGTAAAGAAAGAGAGCTTGGAGGAGGAGGATGGTGTTAGCTGCGGGAGCTCGGGACCACGACGTCTCGAGAACCCCAAAGTGGGCGCTTACCGTCGCGAGGTCTCCTCGGAGCTCCAGAGGAGTTGTCTGCTGGAAGAGCTGAAAGAAGTCGAGGATGAAAGCGACGAGTTCCACTCACACAATAACTACATGAGAAATTTCAGGACATTCAGCACAGGACAATTAGAAATGGGAAGGCTTAAAATTAAAAAGAAGGCTCATCAGTTACATAAAGAGTTAAAGGAAACGGCCACTAGCCCCTCCACAGAGCACGGAAACAACAGCCAGGCCTCAGAGAACACTACGGCCTCAGAGAAGACTATGTCACCACAGAGTCAGAAGAAATCACAGGGGATAAGCTGGACACAGGAAAGCTCAGAAACTGACTTGAGGCTTAAAGGGGATATTTGCACTGAGACTGAAAAAACCTTGCGAACATCTGCTGCCAATGGGGAGAATGGGAGTGCTGATAAGAAGAAAAGGCTTCTGAAAGCCAAGAGCACAGAGGAGAAGGGCAGTGATGCTCTAACTAATGGGGACGGGGTTAAGGACAAGTTGTGTGCATCCAAAAGTAACGGGAAAGCCGCCAAGGCCTCTCCCGAGACCCCGCCACTGAAGAGGCACCCCAGCCTGCTTCGCCGGAGCTTCAGTTTCCGCCACTGGACGGGTGGCGAACTGCTCCGCATCCGGGCCCTCTCCAAAGACAAGCACCACAGCAGCTCCGGGTGCATCGGCCGCGGAGACGGATCAGCCGGGGACGACAACCAGACCCCCCAGTCCACAGTCCTCCAGAACCCGGCTTACGATGAGACGGGACCGCCTAAACGAAACACGTTAGAAGTCGGGGCTGTCCTCAACAAGACTGACTCGATGACTGAGCTGAGCCGCTGGGAACGAGCGAAAGGCAAAAACCGCACATTGGACAACAGCGACCTGCTCACTCTTTCGATGAAGAGTGTGTCGGAGAAGGAGGGGTTTCTGCGTGGCACCGGCGCCCGCTCCAGTGGCTCGGACCGTCGGCTGGTCAGGTTTTTCAGCGGTATCTTCTCCAGGAAGGATGGAGGGAGGATGTCTACCTCCACTCCGGTGGGCAGCCCCAGCACTAACCGCTCCCTGAGGAAGGGGAAGAGGGGTGGTCTCATGGCCTACTCCCAGTCCAGCACAGAGAGTGTTAACGGAGGAGGAGGCCTGTCATCAGAGGGTAAAGGATGCTTTTCTTTATACACACATTCACACACACCAGTTGTAGCTACGGTGTCCTTTCAGATATGCTCAGAAGGGTCTATGGGTGGTTTTTGGCCTGCGCCTCTCTCTCCCCTCTCTCTGCCTCTCTCTCTCTCTCTCTGCCTCTCTCTCTCTCTCCCCCCTCTCACAGCCTCTCTCTCCCCTCTCTCTGCCTCTCTCTCTCTCTCTCTCCCCCCTCTCACAGCCTCTCTCCCCTCTCTCTGCCTCTCTCTCTCCCACCTCTCACAGCCTCTCTCTCCCCTCTCTCTCTGCCTCTTCTCCCCCTCTCTCCCCCTTCACAGCCACTCTCTCCCCCCTCTCTCTTCTCTCTCTCTCTCCCTCTCTCCCCCTCTCCCCTCTCTCTCTCCTCTCCTCTCTCTCTCCTCTCTCTCTCTCTCTCTCTCTCTCCCCTCTCCCTCTCCTCTCTCTCTCTCCTCTCTCTCTCCTCCTCTCTCTCTCTCCTCCCTCTCTACCACTCTCTTCTCTCTCCTCTCTCTTCTCTACTTCTCTCTCTCACCTCTCTCTCCTCTCTCTCTGCTCTTGCTCTTCTCCCTCTCAAGCCTCTCTTCTCTGTCCTCTTGCTCATTCTTCGTCAAGCTTCCATTATTTCTGCTTCTTCTCTAACAGTCTTTCTCCTGTCTCTCTGTGCAGCTGCTGTTCTTTCTTATGTAGGCTTTGTTGTCAGAGGTCTTCTTCTCTATGCTGTTTCGTTTGTCTTTCAGTTAGCCTAGTGCTGTTGTCAGAGGTTCATATAGTCTGTGCTGTTGTCAGAGGTCATAGTTAGTGCTGTTGTCAGAGGTTCATATAGTTAGTGCTGTTGTCAAGGTTCATATAGTCTAGTGCTTGTTGGTCAGAGGTTCATATAGTCTAGTGCTGTTGTCAGAGGTTCATATAGTCTAGTGCTGTTGTCAGAGGTTCATATAGTCTAGTGCTGTTGTCAGAGGTTCATACAGTCTAGTGCTGTTGTCAGAGGTTCATATAGTCTAGTGCTGTTGTCAGAGGTTCATATAGTCTAGTGCTGTTGTCAGAGGTTCATATAGTCTAGTGCTGTTGTCAGAGGTTCATATAGTCTAGTGCTGTTGTCAGAGGTTCATATAGTCTAGTGCTGTTGTCTGAGGTTCATATAGTCTAGTGCTGTTGTCTGAGGTTCATATAGTCTAGTGCTGTTGTCTGAGGTTCATATAGTCTAGTGCTGTTGTCTGAGGTTCATATAGTCTAGTGCTGTTGTCTGAGGTTCATATAGTCTAGTGCTGTTGTCTGAGGTTCATATAGTCTAGTGCTGTTGTCTGAGGTTCATATAGTCTAGTGCTGTTGTCAGAGGTTCATATAGTCTAGTGCTGTTGTCAGAGGTTCATATAGTCTAGTGCTGTTGTCAGAGGTTCATACAGTCTAGTGCTGTTGTCAGGGTTGTCTGTGGCTTGTAGGGAGGCTGGCAGTTCTTCAGTCTATCTACATCTGTGAGGGAAAAAATATGCAGCTGGCACAAACATGAAGAGAAGGATGTTTTAATCCATAGCTACCTACTGATTCATCTGCTTGCTTTATCACACACACACACACCACACACACACACACACACACACACACACACACACAACACACAACACACACCACACCTCTGCATCCTCTTCCACTTGTGGAAAGTGTGATATGATAGAGGAAGTGTGTTGTTCCATTCAGACCTGCCAACTCACTTTAGTCTTCCTCTGCCTATATGGCCAGAGGCTCTCTGACTGGCTGGATGGCTAACTGCAGATCCCCTAAAAGCATCAGTCTCTTGACTCCCTGTATTGTTACTGGCCAGTTCCCTCTTCAAGGGGGTCTCAGGAATTCCGGCAATGTGGAAGCCCCCCTAGCCCTATCAGGGATGGTGTCATCGAAGTCCATTAAGTCTCCCTCTGGCCCCACCCACATCCTCGCCAACATCCTCCACCCACACCCACCACACCTCACCTAACCCAAACCCCCCCCACTCCCTCTGAACCCCCCAGCCCCCCTACCACACCTAACCCAACACCAGCCCCCCCCTCTCCCCACCCTATGCCCCACCACACCCTACCCCAACACCCACCCCACTCCTATGCCCACCCAACACCCAGCCCCACCTCCCTCTGGCCCCACCCTAACCCAACACCCAACCCCACCTCCCTCTGGCCCCACCCTAACCCAAACACCCAGCCCCACCTCCCTCTGGCCCCACCCTAACCCAACACCCAGCCCCACCTCCCTCTGGCCCACCCTAACCCAACACCCAACCCCACCTCCCTCTGGCCCCACCCACTCCCTAACCCAACTTTTCTCTGTTGACCCTCCCTCTAACTGGTTAATGGTGGCAGGTATGGTTGTGTGTGTGTGTGTGTGTGTGTGTGTGTGTGTGTGTGTGTATTTGGAAGGCAGGTTAGAGAGTAAGGGAATGTGTGTGGATATGGGTGTATGTGTTAGGGGGGCGTATGACCTACATCTCCAGCCATGCAGAAGTAATGTGAGGGACATGCGTGTCAAAAGGCAGCCTGGTGAGAGTGTGATTTATTTATTTTAGCTGACTGAGGATACCCCGGAGGAGTCGGTCCTCTCTCCTACTCACTCTCACAGAGCTTCATGCAGATATACTCAGTCATTTACTCAGTCACTCTCTGAGCTTCATGCAGATATACTCAGTCACTCTCTCAGAGCTTCATGCAGATATACTCATTAATTTACTCATAGTCACTCTCTCAGAGCTTCATGCAGATTTACTCAGTCACTCTCAGAGCTTCATGCAGATATACTCAGTCATTTACTCAGTCACTCTCTCAGAGCTTCATGCAGATTACTCAGTCATTTACTCAGTCACTCTCTCAGAGCTTTATGCAGATTTACTCAGTCACTCTCTCAGAGCTTTATGCAGATATACTCATTAATTTACTCATAGTCACTCTCTCAGAGCTTCATGCAGATTTACTCAGTCACTCTGAGGTTCATGCAGATATACTCCGTCATTTACTCAGTCACTCTCTCAGAGCTTCATGCAGATATACTCAGTCATTTACTCAGTCACTCTCAGAGCTTCATGCAGATATACTCAGTCATTTACTCAGTCACTCTCTCAGAGCTTCATGCACACTGACAAACACACTTATATATTACTAGGTCACATTGCTCGCTTGCCTAGTTTGTTACACACACACACACACACACCACACAACACACACACCACACACACACACACACACACACACACACACACACACACACACACACACACACACATCAGAGGGGCTCATTTGACTTGCAGCTCAGTGCTCAGTGTCTGTTAACTGGCTGAGATGAGGCTAGTTCTTTTTAGTTACAGCTTCTTTGATCTCTCTCTCTCCAGCACACTCTTATTTTTCTCTCTTTTGTTTCTCTCTCTCTTTATCTCTTCTCTCTCTCACACACACACACACACACACACACACACACACACACACACACACACACACACACACACACACACACACACACACACACACACACACACACACACAGTGACTACTGCAGTGGTGATATGAGACCCACTCCCACAATGGGTATAATAGGAGTAAAATCCAGTTAGGACTGTAGCCAAGGGGGATTGATGTTGTTGAGTGTTGGTCCTACTAGATTCCTGCAGCTGCCATCTCCACTAGTTTGCCTGGCTCTCTGTTCTGGGAGATCTCAGTTTTGCCTCTTCTGGCCGGGAGGATCTCCTAGTTTCTCTTTCTGTCCGGGAGGATCTCCACTAGTTTTGCCTGGCTCTCTTCTGTCTGGGGAGGACTCCATAGTTGGCCGTCTCTTCTGTTCTGGGGAGGATCTCCACTAGTTTGGCCTGGCTCTCTTCTGTCCGGGGAGGATCTCCACTAGTTTGGCCTGGCTCTCTTCTGTTCTGGGGAGGACAGCATGGCTAGAAGAGACAATAATACTGTTTTTCTTTCCCAGAGGAAGTGTGTCTGTTTGTGTTTGTGTTTGTGTGTGTCTGTGTCTGATAGACTGAGTGTGTCCGTGAGTCTAGTCCTATATGTGTCTGTATTGTGTGTGTCTGATAGCCGTGAGTCTAGTCCTATATGTGAGCTATTGTGTGTCTGATAGACTGAGTGTATCTGTGAGTCTAGTCTTATATGTGTCTGTATTGTGTGTGTCTGATAGCCGTGAGTCTAGTCCTATATGTGTCTGTATTGTGTGTCTGATAGACTGGGTGTATCTGTGAGTCTAGTCCTATATGTGTCTGTATTGTGTGTCTGATAGACTGGGTGTATCCGTGAGTCTAGTCCTATATGTGTCTGTATTGTGTATTGTGTGTTTTCCTCTCTCTCCCTATTTGACGAATGATCAGAGATGAGAGTGAAACAGGACTGTCCCTGCTTGTTATCTTTATGCACAATGTTCTAATGATCTACATTGTCTCAGTAGGACTGACATCCCCTCTGTCTGTCAATCCTGGTCTCTATTGGGATGTCAGTCAGTCAGTCAGACCAGGTCTCTATTGTGGTATCAGTCAGTCAGCCAGTCTCTATTGTGATGTCAGTCCAGGTCTCTATTGTGGTATCAGTCAGTCAGACCATGTCTCTATTGTGATGTCAGTCCAGGTCTCTATTGTGATGTCAGTCAGACCAGGTCTCTATTGTGATGTCAGTCAACCAGGTCCTATTGTGATGTCAGTCAGACCATGGTCTCTATTGTGATGTCAGTCAGACCAGGTCTCTATTGTGATGTCAGTCCAGTCCTATGGTCTCGATTGTGACGTCTCAGGATCCAGGTCTCTATTGTGGATGTCAGTCAGACCAGGTCTCTATTGTGATGTCAGTCCAGGTCTCTATTGTGATGTCAGTCAGACCAGGTCTCGATTGTGATGTCAGTCCAGGTCTCTATTGTGATGTCAGTCAGACCAGGTCTCGATTGTGATGTCAGTCAGACCAGGTCTCTATTGTGATGTCAGTCAGACCAGGTCTCTATTGTGATGTCAGTCAGACCAGGTCTCGATTGTGATGTCAGTCAGACCAGGTCTCGATTGTGATGTCAGTCAGACCAGGTCTCTATAGTGATGTCAGTCAGACCAGGTCTCTATTGTGATGTCAGTGTATATGTTCTCCACCTTGACCTGACTCTGTTCTGTGCTCCGTGTCCTCTTATTTAAACAGTTCCTGTGACCAGCAGAGCAGACATGGTGTGTGTGTCTGCGTGCATGCCCCTGTCTGTTTCTCTGTACCTGCAGTCTTTCCCTCTATTCCTCCTTCTGTGGCTGTGTGTGTTTCTAACTCTGTCTCTGAGCCTCCATGCAGTAATGAGTCCACTGTGGCCTGTTCTGGCTGTGTAGAGTAGAGACATGGAGTCAGGACTGTAAAAATAACCATCGTGTACTGGTAACTAACCATAGCAGTGACAGTGGGGGTGCAGAGCAGGCACTGGAGCAGCCACTGGAGCAGCCACTGGAGCAGCCACTGGAGCAGGCACTGGAGCAGGCACTGGAGCAGGCACTGGATCAGCCACTGGAGCAGGCACTGGAGCAGGCACTGGATCAGCCACTGGAGCAGCCACTGGAACCAACACAGCCAGTGAACATGACATAGTCCTACTGTAACACCTAGCAACCCTCTCTTATTATTATACATTTATTTATTTTATGTTTTTACCCCCCTTTTCTCCCCAATTTCGTGATATCCAATTGTCATCTTGTCTCATCGCTGCAACTCCCCAACGGGCTCGGGAGAGGCGAAGGTGGAGTCATGCGTCCTCCGAAACATGACCCGGCAAACCGCGCTCCTTAACACGGAAGCCAGCCGCACCAATGTGTCAGAGGAAACACTGTTCAACTGACGACCGAAGTCAGCCTGCAGGCGCCCGGCCCGCCACATGGAGCGACTGGTTTTTGATGGCCTTGGATTCTTTGGTCTCTTGCTCTTGGCCAAATCTCTTATGATTGATGCTGTGTGTGTGTGTGTGTGTGTGTGTGTGTGTTAGGCCTTCTGAACTGTACCTGCACTGTGTTGTTTGGCTCAGTAGGACACACACACACACACACACAGTCCCTCTCTGTGCTTATTAGCCAGCCATTGGGTCGCCCTGTGGTGCCTTCACAGGGGTCATCATGGTGTTAAAGAGCATGCGTAGGGGCGGTGTGTGTTAGGGGGGAGGCATTGTTGGGAGGTCGAGCCTTCACAGCGAGCGTACAACTGCCCCGTCTCCTCTCCTCCATTCCCTTCCCCCACTCCTTTCTCCTCCCTTCCCCCACGCTTTCTCTCCTCAGACGCTGCTTCTAGCTCATACTCTGCCCCAACTTCAGCTTCAACCAAAAGTTTTATGTAGCGGTGTGTATGTGTGTGAGAGAGAGAGAGACAGGGTTTCAAAGAGGCCAGTGAAGCACATTCCTCTCTGGAGTCAGGACCGACACACCGACCCTGAAGCATGTGTGTGTTCTTGTGTGTCCTGCGTAGAAAGCTGTGACTCCTCCCCTCCTGACTTCCTTGTAGTCATGTTGCCAGGGGCCTGGAGAGAGTGATGCTGTGTGTCGTGTGTGTGTCAGTGTGTGTCAGTGTGTCTCACGTGTGTGTGTGTGTGTGTGTGCGTGTGTGTGTGTGTGTGTGTGTGTGTGTGTGTGTTGTGTGTGTGTCAGTGTGTGTGCGTACATACGCATATACATTGTGTGTGTGTGTGTTGCTCTCCCCTCCAGCAGAGGCCTGGCTCTAACCTAATCCTGCAGAGGGAGGGAGGAGTGCTAGCCAGCGTTATGTCCTTACATACTGCCTCACGTCCACACAGGGTAATGACAAGGACACACACTGACTGATGCAACAGCACACAGTCCCTCCTGGGACATCACTAGCCCTCTCCTTCCCTACGTACAACACACACACATAGACGTACAACACACACGCGCGCCTCACAAATGCATCACACACTGATATACAATACACACACACACAGACACACACACAGACAGCAACTCACACAGTACTTTAGAGAACACTGTCCTTTTCATTTTAGCATTCAGCTCGATCATCTGAAGAACAAAGCAAGTCCTCTAATTACAGTGGAAAGGTCTCATTTGCTGCCATATCTGTGGTAATATTGTGACAGCCTTGTACAGATGTTGGGAGTGAAGCATCCCTGGTGCATTGTTCCAACTGACTCTGAATGCAGAGTAGACTGTCAGCATTTCAGTTAGGATCACATAGGCACAGTTCTAGGATCAGCTTATCCAAATCCTATCCTATTAAACCATTTGAGGTTTGAAAACTTTAAACTGACCGTTTGTTGGTGTGTAGGGTGGAAATGTTAACTTACTCCAAATTTCAGAGACCCCAATGAATCATTATCGCAAGAGATATCTGCATCTATCGAATACTCGCTTTCGTTCGAGCGATCCTCGAGATCTAGAGTCTTCTCTCTCTCCATCTCTCTCTCTATATCGCTTTGAGCTCCTTATCTCTATCCTCTCTCTCTCTCTCTCTCTCTCTCTCTCTCTCTCTCTCTCTCTCCCCCTCCTCCTCTGTCTTCTCTCTTCCTCTTTCCCCCTGAGACCTAGTTGGGCCAGTCCCATTGGGAACTATTCAGAGTTCTAACGTTACAGTAACGTTTTGTGAACTATAATGATAATCCTCTCTCTCTGTTGTCTCAGCCTTCATCACCTCCACTGTCCCCTAGGCTCGTTATGTCTGTCTCACCCTGACACACACACACACACAGAGGAGTGACTGTTGGTCTGGTCTGGTGACCTGCGAGGAGAAAGACCCCTATTGGTTCCAATGCGTTCTAAATCTGTCTGCTCTAGCTGGCTGAGTCTCCACTGGTTGTGAATGACCACCGGCTTATCCCACTGATTAAATGGACTCATCTAATCGCTAGCCTAACCCCCTGTGTTTGCACACTATGCTGGGAAACCTGAAAGTGAGCTTGTCGTGTGTGTGTGTGTGGACATGGGGGGTAGGACTAGCTATGATAATGATTAGGGCTTTTTTTAGGATGGTGATTAAAGCAACAGCACCCACTGCCAAGTGTGTATTGGGATCAGCGTTCATGAGTGTGGTGTGTGTGTCACGCTTCACTGATTAAAAAGGCTGATATTGAGGTCAACGTGTGTGTGTGTGTGTGTGTGTGTGTGTGTGTGTGTGTGTGTGTGTGTGTGTGTGTGTGTGTGTGTTCCAGTAGATTAGAGCTACAGAGTGCATGCTCAGGGGATCGGCAGATGCTCAGCAGCAGGGGACCAGAGAGAGAGAGGATGGTGTCTGTTTATGTACTGTATTCTATAGAACGCAACACTCTTTTCACCGCAGCAATGTAGCTCCAACTGTGGCAGAGCAAGATGTAGGGTGTCCAATCACAAATGCATCTTTTGACCAATGGGTCAAATAATGTTAATTGTGTAGATAATCCTCTAAGAAAACCAATGGTCCAACCCTCAAGTCTCTATCACAATCTGTTCAAAAGTTATTGGAGTTTTTACCCTTGTAGGATGGCCAGAATTAGGGCGACTAAATCAATGGAGGCCAGAGGAAGAAAAGTAGTTAAAAATCTGGAAAATGTCATGGCGTCAGCTAGGCTGGATTCTGTGCAGGAATGAAGGCTACTGGCTACCTGACAGGATCACTTTCCAGTTGAAAGCACGACACAAAACAATATAGCGGTAAGATGGATATCGATTTTGAGACATGGCATGTAGTATTTTCATATTTTAGTATGCGGTTTTCATATTTGAAAATTCCTGTTATTTTTTGGAAGATTTCATACAAAAACAAGCATATCTCTGATAAATGGAGCACTGAGCACATACCAATATGTTTTATTTTCAAAGCATTGTACATTTAATTCAGCTCATGTCATGCTAATTTTGCTGAATTTTGAAGACGACCACCACAAAATGTAAAATCCTCAAAAGTTGTTTACGAGAAACCTGCACCGCTATGTGAACAGAGCTCAGAGCTTATTATCTAATGTATTAGGTTACGAAATCCGACTTTTTGGATTTAATTTTAATGATATGTTAGCGAAAGACCCCACTGAACGATTCAGAACATGAATAATCATATTTGTCTTGGTAAAATGTATTTTATAATGTAAGGAAGTGAAGTTTCATCACCAAACAGCGTTTTCACCCACTCTGGGTAGAGTGGGTGGACATCCTAGATGATGCAAGCATTATGCTATAGGCTAGTTACAGTAGCAAGCCATTAGACTACCTGAGTTTTAGATAGGTAGCTAGCTATTCAACTCGCGTAGACCTAGCATTTTAACATCAGTAGACTAGACTGAATCCAACCACACAAGTCACAACGGTTTCAGTCTCCCCAAGCTGACTGAAAAGCCTGTGCTCTGACTGAATGTAAATGTCCCCTGTCTAAATGGGATCTTTCTGCTGGCCTGGAAGAGGAGAGGAGCTGGTTGGAAAGAGCTACAGTTGAAGTCGGAAGTTTACATACACTTAGGTTGGAGTCATTAAAACTTGTTTTTCAACCACTCCACAAATGTCTTGTTAACAAACTATAGTTTTGGCAAGTCAGTTAGGATATCTACTTTGTGCATGACACAAGTAATTTTTCCAACAATTGTTTAGACAGATTATTTCACCTATTCACTGTATCACAATTCCAGGGGGTCAGAAGTTTACATACACTAAGTTGACTGTGCCTTTAAACAGCTTGGAAAACTCCAGAAAATGATGTCATGGCTTTAGAAGCTTCTGATAGGCTAATTTACATCATTTAAGTTAATTGGAGGTGTACCTGTGGATGTATTTCAAGGCCTACCTTCAAACGCAGTGCTTTTTTGCTTGACATCATGGGAAAATCAAAAGAAATCAGCCAAGACCTCAGAAAAACCAGGCAGCCGTCATACCGCTCAGGAAGGAGACGCGTTCTGTCTCCTAGAGATGAACGTACTTTGGTGCGAAAAGTGCAAATCAATCCCAGAACAACAGCAAAGGACCTTGTGAAGATGCTGGAGGAAACGGGTACAAAAGTATCTATATCCACAGTAAAATGAGTCCAACCGTGAAGCACAGGGGTGGCAGCATCATGCTGTGGGTGCTTTGCTGCAGGAGTACTGGTGCACTTCACAAAATAGATGGCATCATGAGGAAGGAAGATTATGTGGATATATTGAAGCAACATCTCAAGACATCAGTCAGAAAGTTAAAGCTTGGTCGCAAATGGGTCTTCCAAATGGACAATGACCCCAAGCATACTTCCAAAGTTATGGCTTAAGGACAACAAAGTCAAGGTATTGGAGTGGCCATCACAAAGTCCTGACCTCAATCCTATAGAAATTGTGTGTGCAGAACTGAAAAGCGTGTGCGAGCAAGGAGGCCTACAAACATGACTCAGTTACACCAGCTCTGTCAGGAGGAATGGGCCAAAATTCACCCAACTTATTGTGGGAAGCTTGTGGAAGGCTACCCGAAACATTTGACCTAAGTTAAACAATTTAAAGGCAATGCTACCAAATACTAATTGAGTGTATGTAAACTTCTGACTTCAACTGTATCTGACTCCAGAGCCTTCTAGCTGGGCCTGTCAGTGTGACTCTAGTCCCCTACTGTGACTGGCTGGTGGTCCTCTGGGCCTTATTGGCTTTGACTGGAAGTGGCAGGTGTTAGGGCAGTTAGAGGATGGCTATAACCCTCTACCCTGTTTTAGATTGGAACAGGGAGTACTGGTAGAGGATGGCTATAACCCTCTACCCTGTTTTAGATAGGAACAGGGAGTACTGGTAGAGGATGGCTATAACCCTCTACCCTGTTTTAGATAGGAACAGGGAGTACTGGTAGAGGATGGCTATAACCCTCTACCCTGTTTTAGATTGGAACAGGGAGTACTGGTAGAGGATGGCTATAACCCTCTACCCTGTTTTAGATTGGAACAGGGAGTACTGGTAGAGGATGGCTATAACCCTCTACCCTGTTTTAGATTGGAACAGGGAGTACTGGTAGAGGATGGCTATAACCCTCTAACCTGTTGTAGATAGGAACAGGGAGTACTGGTAGAGGATGGCTATAACCCTCTACCCTGTTTTTAGATTGGAACAGGGTGTGTGTGTGGTGCAGCAGCATTGGTTGTATTGCCACTTATAGTATTGGAGCCATTCTCCTGTGATAGAACTTCCCTGTATTCGCTCTACTCCCCAAGACATCCAGATCAAACACTGTTTCTCTACTCGTCTGTTGCTTTGTGGATCTGGATACTCCTCTCTGTGTCATTGAGGTAACAGGAGAGGGGGAGGGGGGCTGCTGTTATCGTATCCCATATTCCGGTGGGAACTCTGATAGTGAAGCGTAGGAGGCAGCCTGGGTGTGCCAGGACCAATTTGGAACGCTCCAAGTGTTTGGAAAGCTGATAGGAGGGGATGGATGGTGCTCCACTCTTCTCCTCTCCTCCAGTCCCGTACAGCCGTCTGCATCTGTTCACTAAAGCCACCGAGACAAGAGCCTCTCTCTTCTCTCTGTCCATCTGTCTCTGTATCTATCTGTCGCTTCTCTGTCCGTCTCGGGCAGAAGGAGACATCTCAAACTTCTGTCTTTAATCTCAACCGCTGGATTCGAGTATGGCCTACATGGGGTTGGTTCAGTAGTAGAGTTGGAAGGAATGCCTTCATGTGTATAGCTTACATTTGCACGTACGCTTGCGAATTGTCTTCATTGGTCACATATAAGCACACAGTCACACTTGCACATTCTCATGCTTCAAGTTTAACATTTCGCTCTCTCTCTCAGCACTCACTCTCATTACTACTGACTCTGTCAAGTGGCTTTTCCAGTACAGTAAGTCGTTTCAGACGCTCTCTGTGGCTCTCTGTGCCCGTCACGGTGATGGGCATAACGCACATTGGCACGGACTGGCATCATCGCTCTTTGCCCATTGTCTCTCTCACCTCTGGTGCCCTCCACTGCAGGACCAGGACAGCTGCTGCTCTCTGCTCTCCTCAGGGAGCTCAATGCTTCTTGTCATTTATCTCACCTGGATGCACTACTGCTCATACTAGGTTGTTCAGTGCTTGAGTAAGGAAGCCTTCACGTTGTATGCTTACTTGCACGTCGGCGGTTTATGGGCAAACAGAGCATTGCACGTGGCATCACTTCGCCATTGCTCATGCTTCAACATTACTGTGCTGCCTGTTACTCAGATGCAGGACCACTGACGTCTGATGTCAGCTGGCTATTATCCGTACAGTGGATGTAGCCTGGTTCTGGGGTATGACACTGTGGTGTATGTAGCCTGTTGAGGTGGTCATCGTGAGACACGTCGGTAGGTTGCCTGGACTGAGATGGGAGGACACTGCTGTAGTGATGTCAGCTGGTATGAGTTGGAGGCACTTACGGTATGATGTACTGGTTACTGGGGGTTTGGAAGGACACTGACGGTTGATGTAGCCTGGTTACTGAGGGGTAGGAGGACACGGGTGTGAGCCTGTTCAGTGGAGCTTGATTAGGCCTAGCTGGTTACTGAGGGGTTATGGGGAGGACACTGACGGTAGTGATGTAGCTGGTTATGAGGGGTTAGGGGAGGACACTGTACGTAGTGATGTAGCCTGGTACTTGAGGTATGGGGAGGACATGATGGTAGGAGTAGCTGGTTACTGAGGGTTATGGGGAGGACCACGGTGCACGGTAGTGATGTAGCCTGGTTAATGAGGGGTTACTGGGGGGGACACTGATGGTATGATGTAGCCTGGTTAATGAGGGGTTAGGGGGAGGACACTGTGACGGTAGTGATGTAGCCTGGTTACTGAGGGGTTATGGGGAGGACACTGATGGTAGTGATGTAGCCTGGTTACTGAGGGGTTATGGGGAGGACACTGATGGTAGTGATGTAGCCTGGTTACTGAGGGGTTATGGGGAGGACACTGATGGTAGTGATGTAGCCTGGTTACTGAGGGGTATGGGAGGACACTGCGGGGTGTGATGTAGCTGGTTATGAGGGGTATGGGGAGGAAAGGACACTGACGGTAGTGATGTAGCCTGGTTACTGAGGGGTTATGGGGAGGACACTGTGACGGTAGTGATGTAGCCTGGTTACTGAGGGGTTATGGGGAGGACACTGACGGTAGTGATGTAGCCTGGTTACTAAGGGGTTATGGGGAGGACACGTGTGACGGTAGTGATGTAGCCTGGTTACGGAGGGTTATGAGGGGACAATGATGTGTAGTGATGTAGCCTGGTTACTGAGGGGTTATGGGGGGAGGACACTGTGACGGTTAGTGATGGAGGCTGGTACGAGGGGTTGGTTATGGGGAGGACACTGATCGGTAGTGATGTAGCCTGCCTGGTTACTGAGGGGTTATGGGGAGGACACTGTGACGGTAGTGATGTAGCCTGGTTACTGAGGGGTTATGGGGCGGGCATGAATGTAACTGCTAGTGTTCTAAGAAGGACAGGTCTGTAGGGATGCAGCCTTGTTCTTCCACTGTAATGTGAATACTTCTACATTGTGTTTGCCTAGTCATTGAAGGATATTACAAGGACATTGTTACAGCTCTGATGCCCTAGCTAGCTCAAAACAAAATGGGACCCTCTCAATAACACAATCCATGATGTATCTGAGCCAATGTGACATTAATGGGGTCAGGTCTGGTCGCTGGTGGCGGTGGATAATATATAGGATAAGTGTTTCCCCAAAATGAATTTAGCAGGGGCGGGCCGCCGCTGCTAAATCGTTGCCGCCACTCCAAAAGATATGAAAATAAATAATAATAAATCGAGACGGTTAAATGTTTTCAGTGTGAACTTAAACGACTAAAACCAGATGTAAAGTATGGGAGGAAAGATAATGGAGCTATGTGTTTTTAAATAAGATCATCTTTGAGAACTAACAATTAGCTAAATAAAAAATAGACAGTCAGGGAGAATCTAAAATTCCAAAAATGTCATGGCATGGGGCCCCCATTGGTTTTGTTATAATGTTTGAGTCACTCAGATAGCATAAGAACACAGCCAAAATGTGTAGAATTGCAGGGAATTAACAGGGTAGAGGGTTATAGCTAGGTCACAGCCATCCTCTACCAGTACTTCCTGTTCGTAGGGAATTAAACATTTTGTTTCTGCGGCCAAGACGACTGCCTCTAAGATTTATGGTCGGAGACCGGACCGCGCCGTTGGCCACGCCCACCCCCCCTACGCTAGCTTTGCCACCGCTGCTGAAAAAAATCCTAGGGGAAACACTGGGATAATGTTAGCCTAATGACTCTGGTGAATAATGTACATGATAATGTATATCATAATGTTAGCCTAATGACTAAGTAGCCATGGGGAAAATGTGGTCTGGAGACTGGCCTGTCTCCCCAACGTCCTCAATGCAGCCTCCTCTTGTTTTGGAAAGCAGAAGTGTGTTCCTGAACACTGCAGAGCCAGCCAGACCATGTGACTGTGTGTGTTCTGTCCTTCTCCTGAACCTTGGGGACCAATCGGGCGCCTGACATGGATGGGCAGCCAGAAGCATGGAAGTGTGTGTGGAACTCCAGGCTCCATTTGGTCTCACAGTTCAGCTGAGGCCACAGGCCACTGTGCTTTAGTAAACCTGAGACCCTGTAACAGAAAACATGGCTGAATTCACAACCATCGCAGGTCTCTGAAAAGATCACGGTTTGGGGGGTCAAATCCATTTGAACTCAATTCAGGATGTGATAGAAGTATGGGGAAGAGAATCAAAATCCAGTTAATCAATAGAAAAACCCCAAATATACCAAGCATTATCTATTCATGAAACAAATTCTAATTCATCTTCTGATTCGTCAGTGAACAATACAACGGCCTCTTTTGGAGTTTCTTGGCCAATGAAAACCCAGTGTCTTTGTGTCACCACCATCACAGTTCAATTTGGATCCTGTCTCCGGCTTCCTGGCCCACTAACTTCCCCCCTCTGGCTGTTCTATTCAGGAGAGGGGTTGGGGGGGCAGCTTTCTCTGTAACACTGACAGATGAACTAATGATGGTGTTCCTGCCATTTCCCCAGCAGCCAGGGAGAGAGGAGAGGAGAGGAGAGGAGGACAGCACTCATGGCTTTGATTGATGACTGTGGGCTTTATTAAAACGCCTCCTGGCATTGGCTTCTTTCTAGAAGGAAGCTTCCTCTCTGCTCTCCCTCCTTCCCTCCTATTGATTAGTCCTGTCTTAGCAAGAGAACAGAACCGTGGTTTCTTCTGCCAGATGTTCTACTGATCCTTGAGAGCCTGGTCACTGACCTGTGACTCTTTCCTCTCTTGTGGGTGTGTGTGAACTTACAGCTCTCGTTGGAATCAGGAGAGCTTAGCAGGCTGGGATAGACCCTTAAACCCTTTCTCCCCCTCTCCTCTCTCCCCCGCCCCCCTCTCCCCCCCCTATCACCTCTCTTCCCTGTCACATCCCCTCTTCCAGGCTGTGAGTCTGTGATAGCAGGTCTAATCTTCTGTTTGCCTTGCCATTGTGCGCTGTACAATAGGGCTGGCTGCCGGCTGCAGGACTAGGGGACAAAGGCTGCAGCACAGGGTGTAATGAAACCTTGAGGTGACCCAGAGGGGTCAGAGAAGGGTTTCAGAGTTAGAGTGGAGGTTTGCGAGACTGAGTACAGAGGGATAGAGAGACTGGTGTCAGAGAGCGGTGAGAGGGGTGTCAGAGGGAAGGTGGGATAGAGAGACTGGTGTCAGAGGAGAGTGTAGAGGGACTGGTGAAGAAGGGGTCAGATGTGATGGAGAGACTGGTGTCAAGAGGGATGAGAGCTGGATGTAGAGAGAGAGGTGAGAGATGGAAAGGGGTGTCAGAAGGGGGGTGGAGGGTGTCAGATGTGAGGGAGAGAGTGCTGTCAGAGGGTGCTAGAGGGGGAGACTGGTGCCTGAAGTGGGCTGGCTGGTCTAGTTGCATCATTAGACTGACATGCCCTGGATGGATTACAAAGTAGGGATATTATTGCACCACCTGTACGTAAGCACTAGATCCATGTCCACCTCAGTTTACAAACCAGTGCAGCTAGATGTTTGCTCAACCTACATCAGCTAACACAGACATTGTATTGTATCTGAGATCTGTATTAAGACACTCAACAGTGTGTACGCACAGCAAGCCATACTCTACCCAGCACCACGCACCCTGTGCTGCTGACATTACTCATCTGCCAAGATGCTGTTTGACTAGTGTTGGGAGGCACTGTCAGTCAATAGGCCTAGAATAGTGTTTGTATGTATAATCACGCTATTCAGATGTAGGCCTACAGTTATGGCTAAATGTAGTTATCTACACCCATCTACAGTTCTGTTTATCAGTGTGTGTAACCCGTACGACTGGTTCATATGAGCTGACACGCTAGAGCCCTGCATGGGCATGAATTTGAAGCCATAGCCATGCCCCCAACGTTCAGGCCCTACCCTACCCGGCCCTGCCCTGCCCGAACCCTAAATCAGAAATAACTTCCTCCGTTTGGATCCATTAGCTGCTCTTCTGTCTGTCCCTCGCTCGCTCTGCATGCGCTCTGTGCATGGCTCTGCTTCTTAGTATCCATAGCAACGCCTCGGCTTGCTGTTCTGCTCAATGACGAGACCGAGGGCAGTTAGCTGTAAACCTTTCGTCACTATAAACTCTGACAAAACTCAAGGAAAAGTATGATTTATTATATTTGATGAGCTTGAAGTACTTCTGTCACCATGATATGTACGACACAGCAGAGCACAAGCAAATGGCTCTGCTTCAAAATGTTAGTGACCAATTTAGTGATTCCCGGGCCCTGCCCGTCCCCTAGTTATTGATGAAGAAACCCGATGTATAATGTCGGGTAGCAGAGCTTTTATACACACACACCATGTCACAGTGGTGTGGAAACATCTGCTCACCACAGTGCTGCACACACCTTTTCACTTCCTGCTTTTCCCAATCATTTAGAACTGTTATGAAGAATAAAGGAAACAAAGACAGCTACAGCCATACCGGTTATAGACGGCTACAGCCATACCGGTTAAAGACGGCTACAGCCATACGGGTTAAAGACTGCTACAGCCATACCGGTTAAAGACGGCTACAGCCATACCGGTTAAAGACAGCTACAGCCATACCGGTTAAAGACAGCTACAGCCATACGGGTTAAAGACGGCTACAGCCATACCGGTTAAAGACAGCTACAGCCATACGGGTTATAGACGGCTACAGCCATACGGGTTATAGACGGCTACAGCCATACGGGTTAAAGACGGCTACAGCCATACCGGTTATAGACGGCTACAGCCATACCGGTTAAAGACAGCTACAGCCATACCGGTTAAAGACAGCTACAGCCATACCGGTTATAGACGGCTACAGCCATACCGGTTAAAGACAGCTACAGCCATACCGGTTAAAGACGGCTACAGCCATACGGGTTAAAGACAGCTACAGCCATACGGGTTAAAGACGGCTACAGCCATACGGGTTAAAGACGGCTACAGCCATACCGGTTATAGACTGCTACAGCCATACCGGTTAAAGACGGCTACAGCCATACCGGTTAAAGACAGCTACAGCCATACCGGTTAAAGACGGCTACAGCCATACCGGTTAAAGACGGCTACAGCCATACGGGTTAAAGACGGCTACAGCCATACCGGTTAAAGACGGCTACAGCCATACCGGTTAAAGACGGCTACAGCCATACCGGTTAAAGACGGCTACAGCCATACCGGTTAAAGACGGCTACAGCCATACGGGTTAAAGACGGCTACAGCCATACCGGTTAAAGACAGCTACAGCCATACCGGTTAAAGACTGCTACAGCCATACCGGTTAAAGGACGCCTACTTACATAGGCAGCCATACGTTATCTAGGTAAATAAGCTGGTCTTTAGCTGGGAACAGCTGTATCCAACCGGTTAAGGACGTGTGGTGAAAGGCAGAAACGGACAGAGCGAGGTCAGAGGAGAAAGTAGCACGTAAGACGGGAGCGATGGATAGAAGTAACGCTGTGAAGGGCGAAGGGCATTACATTATGATGTCACATATGACCGATGTGGGAATGCTTGGCTGATCTGTCACCCTCAGTCTCGCATGAAGTCCCATTAGCGTGACACACACACACACACACACACACACACTACGCTGCCTGTCTCCAATACCCTCAGGGGATGAACGGTTAGTTTGGCTCCACCCACCAAGTGTGTCACCTCCACCCTGTTTGTTCTCTTTGGGTGTGTGTGTGTGTGTGTGTGTGTGTGTGTGTGTGTATAGAGTGCCTGTGTGTGTTTGGAGTGCCTGTGGGCGTGCTACTGACTAAGACAATAGTATCATTAGTCCATTAGGCCCCTGTGTGTGGCTGTCTGTGTAAAGAGCTCTTCAGACAGGGCCCAGGGTGGGTGTGTTCTCGTGCCCAAACAGCATGATAGGGTTTTAAACCTGAATAGCTCCTCCTGTTAGGACAGGAGGGGTTCAAACTGGGACAAAACAGACAAAACACCTCATGAGAGAGCAAGAGGTGTGTGTCCTTAAAGAGAGAGGTGTGTGTCCTTAAAGAGAGAGGTGTGTGTGTGTCCTTAAAGAGAGAGGTGTGTGTGTGTCCTTAAAGAGAGAGGTGTGTGTGTGTCCTTAAAGAGAGAGGTGTGTGTGTCCTTAAAGAGAGAGGTGTGTGTGTGTCCTTAAAGAGAGAGGTGTGTGTGTGTCTTTAAAGAGAGAGGTGTGTGTGTGTGTCTTTAAAGAGAGAGGTGTGTGTGTGTCTTTAAAGAGAGAGGTGTGTGTGTGTCCTTAAAGAGAGAGGTGTGTGTGTGTCCTTAAAGAGAGAGGTGTGTGTGTGTGTCCTTAAAGAGAGAGGTGTGTGTGTGTCCTTAAAGAGAGAGGTGTGTGTGTGTCCTTAAAGAGAGGTGTGTGTGTGTCCTTAAAGAGAGAGGTGTGTGTGTCCTTAAAGAGAGAGGTGTGTGTGTCCTTAAAGAGAGAGGTGTGTGTGTCCTTAAAGAGAGAGGTGTGTGTGTGTCTTTAAAGAGAGAGGTGTGTGTGTCTTTAAAGAGAGAGGTGTGTGTGTCTTTAAAGAGAGGTGTGTGTCCTTAAAGAGAGAGGTGTGTGTGTGTGTGTCCTTAAAGAGAGAGGTGTGTGTGTGTCCTTAAAGAGAGAGGTGTGTGTGTGTGTGTCTTTAAAGAGAGGTGTGTGTGCGCATACTGCTTCTCCCTTAGTACTGTGTACCACATGGCTAAAGGGATGTTCTAACCCAGGGGTGTCAAACATACGGCCCGCGGGCCAGATCAGGCCCGCAAACGGGTTTAATCCGGCCCGCGAGATGATTTTTATTTTTTAATTTTTTTAAGTATAAAAATGCGCTGCAATTTTTCAATAAAATAAACTGCTGTTCCAATTGCGTCCACTGGATGGCGCAATAGCAATTGTGTTAAGCAAGCAAACTGTTTATACCGGGGCAGAGCAAGTAGGTCAAGCACGTGCAGCCAATGAGCTACTTTGTTTTGCCCGCGATATTTATTACGGCTTCTACTTTTAACATTATGTGCTTTGGCACCCTCATTGCCCCAATATGTCTCTGTCAAAAAAGAGAAAAGTGGACGCAGAGTGTTCCAAGAAAAATGGTCATCCTATTTAATCACGGAATTGAATGGGAAAGCTGTATGTTTGGTGTGTTCAGAGCATGTTGCAGTGCTGAAAGAATATAACCTTCGTCGCCACTATGTGAGTCTTCATGCCGACAAATATGACAACTTTCAAGGACAGCGGAGATGAGAGAAGGTGAATGAACTGTTGGCGGGTCTGAAGAAACAGCAGTCTGTGTTTACTCACAGCCGAGACATCAGTGACGCTGCAGTGAAAGCTAGCTACCTCATTGCTAATGAAATCGCAGTGGCTTCAAAACCATTTAGTGAGGGTGAATTTGTAAAAACATGCATGATGAAGGCAGCGGAGATTGTGTGCCCTGAAAAGCGGCAGGCTTTTGCAAATATCAGCCTGACAAGAAACACAGTTGCAGACAGGATTTCCGATCTTTCAGTGGATTTGGACAGCCAGTTGAAGCAAAAAGTAAAGTCATTTATTGCGTTTTCGGTTGCAATTGATGAAAGCACGGACATTACAGATGTTGCACAACTGGCCATTTTTTCATCCGCGGAGTTGATGACACATTGACCGTCACCGAGGAGTTCGTGGAGTTGGTGCCGATGACAGATACAACGACAGCAGCTGATATTTTTACCGCACTCGTCGGCGCGCTGGACAGGGTCGGAGTGGACTGGTCCCGCGCTGTCAGCCTGGCTACAGATGGTGCGCCCTCAATGATCGGGAAAAAAGCAGGCGCTGTGACAAAGTTCAGAGAGAAAGTGCAATCTGCAAATGGAGGACGTGATTTTTTGACTTTTCACTGTATTTTGCACCAGGAGGCTTTGTGTTGCAAGTCATTAAAGATGGATAACGTCATGAAGGTGGTCATCCAAACTGTTAATTTCATCCGATCCAGAAGCCTGAATCACCGTCAGTTTGACAGCCTTCTCAGAGAGAAAGACCACATCTATGGCCTGCCATACCACACTGAGGTAAGATGGTTAAGCCGAGGTGCTGTGCTGAGGCGTTTCTTTGATTTACGAGAAGAAATTGAACAGTTCATGGAAGAAAAGGGCAAACCAGTGTTAGAATTTCATTCCGCAGAATGGATGCCGGACCTTGCATTTATGGTGGATGTTACAGAGCACCTGAATAACTTGAACAAACAGCTGCAAGGGCGCAACAAAGTTGTCACGCAGTATTATGACAGCATACGTTCTTTCAAATTGAAGCTGTCATTGTGGGAGACGCAACTTGCCGGTGGTGATGCAGCTCACTTCCCCTGTCTGAAAAATGTGTGCGCGACCCAACATGTGGCAGACATGAAGCGGTTAAAAGATAAAATAACTGGACTGTTACGGGAGTTTGAGCAACGCTTTCAGATTTATGTTTATATGTTTTTATGTTGATGTGCTATTGTTTTTAATTGATTTTATTTTATTTGTATATTTAACCTATTCTTGACTCTGTGGTTCTTGCACTTGTTTGGGGAACAGGATTTCATTATTTTTATCTACATTTCTGCCTGAGAAATGACACCCTGATATAGTTCTGTGATCTGTGAAACAGTTCTGTTAATCACTGAGGCATTGTGTGTTTGTGTGTTCTTTTTCTTTAGAATTTTCAAATAAACTTGACGTGTTTTATGATTAATAGTGTATTGTGCTTGCACTATTTTGGACACACTGTCCTCAGGCTCCAGCTTTATGTTGTATGTTGATCGTATTAAAACAAAGAAAACAATCTGAAGTTGTTGTTTTTAAGTTATATATACAGTGGGGAAAAAAAGTATTTAGTCAGCCACCAATTGTGCAAGTTCTCCCACTTAAAAAGATGAGAGAGGCCTGTAATTTTCATCATAGGTACATGTCAACTATGACAGACAAAATGAGAAAAGAAATTCCAGAAAATCACATTGTAGGATTTTTTATGAATTTATTTGCAAATTATGGTGGAAAATAAGTATTTGGTCAATAACAAAAGTTTCTCAATACTTTGTTATATACCCCTTGTTGGCAATGACACAGGTCAAACGTTTTCTGTAAGTCTTCACAAGGTTTTCACACACTGTTGCTGGTATTTCGGCCCATTCCTCCATGCAGATCTCCTCTAGAGCAGTGATGTTTTGGGGCTGTCGCTGGGCAACACGGACTTTCAACTCCCTCCAAAGATTTTCTATGGGGTTGAGATCTGGAGACTGGCTAGGCCACTCCAGGACCTTGAAATGCTTCTTACGAAGCCACTCCTTCGTTGCCTGGGAGGTGTGTTTGGGATCATTGTCATGCTAAAAGACCCAGCCACGTTTCATCTTCAATGCCCTTGCTGATGGAAGGAGGTTTTCACTCAAAATCTCACGATACATGGCCCCATTCATTATTTCCTTTACACGGCTCAGTCGTCCTGGTCCCTTTTCAGAAAAACAGCCCCAAAGCATGAAGTTTCCACCCCCATGCTTCACAGTAGGTATGGTGTTCTTTGGATGCAACTCAGCATTCTTTGTCCTCCAAACACGATGAGTTGAGTTTTTACCAAAAAGTTATATTTTGGTTTCATCTGACCATATGACATTCTCCCAATCCTCTTCTGGATCATCCAAATGCACTCTAGCAAACTTCAGACGGGCCTGGACATGTACTGGCTTAAGCAGGGGGACACGTCTGGCAATGCAGGATTTGAGTCCCTGGCGGAGTAGTGTGTTACTGATGGTAGGCTTTGTTACTTTGGTCCCAGCTCTCTGCAGGTCATTCACTAGGTCCCCCCGTGTGGTTCTGGGATTTTTGCTCACCGTTCTTGTGATCATTTTGACCCCACGGGGTGAGATCTTGCGTGGAGCCCCAGATCGAGGGAGATTATCAGTGGTCTTGTATGTCTTCCATTTCCTAATAATTGCTCCCACAGTTGATTTCTTCAAACCAAGCTGCTTACCTATTGCAGATTCAGTCTTCCCAGCCTGGTGCAGGTCTACAATTTTGTTTCTGGTGTCCTTTGACAGCTCTTTGGTCTTGACCATAGTGGAGTTTGGAGTGTGACTGTTTGAGGTTGTGGACAGGTGTCTTTTATACTGATAACAAGTTCAAACAGGTGCCATTAATACAGGTAACGAGTGGAGGACAGAGGAGCCTCTTAAAGAAGAAGTTACAGGTCTGTGAAAGCCAGAAATCTTGCTTGTTTGTAGGTGACCAAATACTTATTTTCCACCATAATTTGCAAATAAATTCATTAAAAATCCTACAATGTGATTTTCTGGAATTTTTTTTCTCAATTTGTCTGTCATAGTTGACGTGTACCTATGATGAAAATGACAGGCCTCTCTCATCTTTTTAAGTGGGAGAACTTGCACAATTGGTGGCTGACTAAATACTTTTTTTCCCCCACTGTACCATGATTTTTCTGGTCCGGCCCACTTGGGAATAGATTTTCCTCCATGTGGCCCCTGAGCTAAAATTAGTTTGACACCCCTGTTCTAACCTAATGGTCTAACCTAATGGTCTAACCTAATGGTCTAACCTAATGGTCTAACCTAATGGTCTAACCTAATGGTCAGACCTAATGCTCTAACCTAATGGTCTAACCCTGGTCTAACCTAATGGGAACCTGAACTTGAAAGACATGAATTGCTCTTTACCTGACTGATGTAGAAATAGTTTACAACAAACTGACGCTGGCGGAATTCCATTCAGTCACATTGTATTCTCAGAATGCTTGTCGACATCACTGAGGATTCTGCTCTGTTGTCATTCAGACAAAGGAGGGATGTTGTTTATCTTTGTTGTGACACATCTCATTTCACTCTTCATTCTGTCGCCATGCTGGCACCTTGTCAGTCAAATGCCTCCACCTTGTTTGAGTTCCTTAATTTACATTTTACATTTACATTTTAGTCATTTAGCAGAAGCTCTTATCCAGAGCCACTAACAGTTAGTGAGTGCATACATTTTTTTTCTTCTCATACTGGTCCCCCATGGGAAACGAACCCACAACTCTGGCGTTGCAAACGCCATGCTCTACCAACGGAGCTACACTGGACTGTATAATAACATACAGGTGTTGAGCAAGAACCAGTTCTGTTGTCAATAATGACCAGCCCTAGGGTTATTTAGTCTGTAACACTGCCAGATTCCTATCATAGGGATAGTCCTTTCAAAGCATCCATTCTAATTACTAGCATAGGTCTAGTCCTTTCAAAGGATTCATTCTAATGCTCTAGAACCAGGTCATCAAGGTCAAATGAGGGCACAATGT